TGTATGGGTTGCTTTCCATTCTGAAATGTGAAGAGAATATCAATTACTTGTCATTCGTACTTGGATTCTTTTGATTTGTAGGAAGCTACGCAATCAAATTTTTTGAATACATTTCTGCGATTATTTTAACTCGACTTTTGCAATCGTGATCGTGAAATAAATCCTGCATATGAAGTCACGAATTTTTGCGTACAAATTTGTCCAAATCGACATTGAGGTTTTAAACAAATTTGCACATTTGCACAAAAATTTCATGTACACTTTGCATGCATACATGCTTGAATGTTGTGATTTTAATGTGACAAGGCGTAATTTTGTGCAAATAATTGGTCCAGACTCAAGCGGTGTGTGTGTTTTTTTCTACCCCCCGCTCATTATGTGATGAAAGGCAAAGCTTCCCGACGACACATTTTGCTTTGAGAGGTTTGCCCCTGCCTATGTCGCACGTCGCACCCCCTCCCCCCCTCTCCCCTCTCTCCCCCTTGCGCATCCTGCCCTTTCGCATATATCGTGGCGGAGAGCACAAGCAGCAACAAGACGAGGTGTTTGCTCCTTTTGAGCCCCCGCTCTCTCAGCCGTTCGGTTTGTTGCTTCATTACGGTAAATAGTCATCGCTCTTGTCGTCCCGCCAGCGCCGCTCCTCACGTGCGTCTCTCTCTCTCTCGCTCTCTCGCAGTTGCGCGCGCGCGCGCGCACACACACACACACACACACACACACACACACACACTCAGAATTGTGCACGCGCGAGGGGTGTTATTTATCGCTAAAACTTTAGGAGGTGCTCCCTTAGAATACCCGTGTCGGGAAACTATGTATCCGGGTGAACACAGGTGTGTGTCTGCTGGCGCACGCCTGTGTGTGTGTGTGCGTGTTGCTGAATAGAAGGGGATGGGTGGCCGCCCTTTTCCTGTTCCGCGACAAGGCTGCTGTAAAGAAAGTGCGCCTGCGCTTCTGTCTAAGTATACCTCCGTTTATGGAAATGAACCAATAGCTATCAGGCTCCGATATCTCTGTTAGGTTGCGGCAACATCACTATGGTTCATTTGTTAACTCTATTTTTGCCCTTTATTTTAAAAACTTGTTAATTCACTTATTTCAATTTTTTTTACTAAAGATTCTATGGGTGGTAGATGCGGTCGACGTTGATTGTCCTACTCTTGGTAGTACTTGCAGAGCGATAGGCTCGCGCGACTCGAGCAGCGGTGAAGGGCCTCTCTGTCTCTCTCTCTCTCTCTCTCTCTCTCTCTCTCTCTCTCTCTCTCTGGTTTTCGGATGTGGCCCCGCGGAGCCAGGGCGCCAGGGCCCGGGAGCAATTAAAGCTATTAATTAATCCGTGTCGCGCCTGGCGTGGCGGGGCGTGGCAGGGCGTGGCGTGGCGTGGCGGGGCGTGGCGGGGCGTGGCGGGGCGTGGCAGGGCGTGGCGTGGGCGGGGCGTGGTGCCTCCGCCGAGGGGTCAGAGACCACACCGTTTGACATCCCCCGCCCCCCCCCCCCTTTCTCCCGCCCCGCAGCAGCGGCGCCTAATGCGGCACCGTGAATGCGTTTTGATGCCGCGCACCTCGTACACTAAGTGATTCTTCTGACTAATCACGTCTACGTGTCGCTACTGTCGTGCGCGGTGAGACAACGCCGCTTTGACAGCGACCAAAGAAACAAGTATTTGAAATCAGGTGCACGCGTGGATGACACGCTTGTTCGAAGAAAAGAAACTTTATTTCAACTTTTCTTCATCTATTTGTTAATAGA